TTTTTATAAATCTATAGCTTGCCACGTGGCTGGTGGCTTACCGGCTTCTTTACATGCTCTTCTCCTGGCGGTGGCTGCAGTGTCTCTCCCCCCTTCTTCCTGTTTCCCCAATTCTCCTCTCTCTTTGTCCCGCCTATACTTCCTGCCTGGTCACTGGCCATCAGTGTTTTATTTACATAGAGTAATATCCACAGCAAGCAAGCAGGCATTTATGGCACTAGAGCAGTAGCTGAGGACATATTTTGACCCACAAGCACAAAAGGAGAGAGAGGGAGGGACGTGGAAATGGCATAGGCTTTTGAAACCTCAAGGTCCACCCCCAGTGACACACCTCCTCCAACAAGACCACACCTCCTAATCCTTCCCAAACAGTCTCACCAACTGTGGACCAAGCATTCAAATATACAACCCTATGGGAGCCAGTATCTTCACCCCATCACACCATGCAAGGAAGCTATAGTCACAGTTGTTTCCAGAGGTTGTTAGTTGTCCTTAAGTAACATGGAGCAAATTCAGTAGCTAAAGTCCTGAAGTATGATCCCCTGTTTTGTCCTCAGAAGAATAAACATCTTTTTAGTCCTTTTAAGGTCACCATATATTAGAGGAAATTATAGGGAGATTCACTTGGGTTACCACACACCATGAAATTAGGGTCCCTTCTCGGTTATTAGTCTCATTGACAAAAGAATTAAAAATGGACTCAGCAGAAAGTTTAGTGTAAATTTCATTAAGAGTATTTTTGAAAAAGAAATCCACAGGACAGCAGAGATGTAAATCTTGGCAGCTATGTGGAGGAGTTAGATGGTAAAGGGAGGGAGAATCCACACCTTCTGACTTAGGCATAGAGGTCAGGACAGGGCAGACAAGCAGCCCCACGGCCAGAATGATGGGAAAAGAGCTTTGAAGATGGAAAAGGAAGCCCAGAGTGGAACAGAGAACACTGTCAGGTTTAGGACAGCATCCAAAAGAATAAAAAAAAGAGAGAGAGAGAGATACAAGGAAGAAAACAGATAAGGTAGATTTTCCTATTTAATCCAGTAAAGCAGGTAGGCTTGACCCAGCCATATGTTGAGACCACAAGTGACTGCTGTAAACACACTCTTAAAATAAAAAACCTGAAGATAACTGTTGTTAAAAATATTAACATATCAAATATTACCATGAGCTTTTATGAAGGTGATTTAAAGTTCCCAAAAAACATAAGGGACATAAATATCTACAGATATTCAAGCCACAATGTTTTCCCTATAAACCATATGCATGAACATTCTTTTTCAACTTTTGTGGTTATAAACAGTGCCACAGTAAGCAAGGTTGGCATAAGTGGAATGCACATGTTGATTTCATTAGTAAAAATTCAGTGAAGACTTTCTAAATCAAAGAAAATGTGTATTTAACGCTTTTGATAACCAGAGCAAACTCCACTCATGAGCCCAGAGTTTGTCTCCTTGTATACTGAGAGGAGCCAGAAGTTTAAAGCCCTGCTAATTTGGTCAATCAAAACTAGCATCACTACTTTTAAACTTGTATTTCTTTATATTCTATTGAAATTTGATATTTTCAATATATTAATTTTTAGTCACTCTTATCTCTTCAGTGAATAACCTGCAACCTTTTTCAGGTAATGACTGAGATCACAGTACAACTGACGATTTTTTCTAATTCCTTTATGTATTAATGGCCTGTTCTCCGTTGTATCTATGAACAATATTTTTTGGATTTCTATTTCTATTGTATTTATTATTATTTTATGTTACATCCAGAGTTTAATTTGTATATGTGTACAACTACATTTTCTTTACAACTTCCTTCATTCATGGTTTTTGTTCATAAAATCTCCACTGCCCCAACATGTAACCAAACAAACAGTGATTTTAAAGACACTTATAAATCAAGGAGAGAAAAATCTAGATCATTTGTTTCACAAAGAAATTGGGTGTATTTATTTTGGAGATGTCAAAAATAAAAGGCAGACAAGTCTGAGCTTCACACTTATTGACAAGAATAATTCTCTGACTATCACAGCCAATTATTGACAAGTGAGTTTTAATGAGTGAATGCTGATGATACAAGCCTTCTCTCAGGGAGATGGATCCAGAAGAGTTATGTAACTTTTTAGTCACCAGGAAGAATTTTAGCCAAAGAGTTTCCAAAAGATTGAAAACATAAATCCCAAGGAAAGACTACTTCAAGGAAAATCTAGTTCGGCCCATCTCTGAGGACACCTATGAGCGTACAAGATACCATTAGTACTTTATCAGCAGCTGCTTTCCCCGGCCCATCTCTAAGCAATACTGCAGTTTTCTACACCTTTGTCTCAACACCTGCACAGGAGAGGAAGATGATAACATAAAAAGCACATGCACAGAGGAGAAAAAACTCAGCCTTACAACTTGCTGACATAGTTTCAAATCTTGGATTCACTGACCATTAGTGAACTTTATTCTGAGAAAGTCAAATGGCACTCGAGGGTCCCTTGCACATGGCTTAATGTTAGTGGCAAAAGCTGGGCACTCAAATTATGTTATAACAATAGCCAAGGAAGCACACACCAGATACAAAATTGCTACAGGGAATTATGTATTTATATTCAGTATAATTTTCTAGGCATATATACATATTGATGTGTACATACACAATTCTGGTTTTGTTATTATTTTTAAGATACCAGATAAGAGGCTCTGTTTCTTCAGGTTATTAAGGATTCTAAGGAAAAAATGACTATTCCACAATCTATAGGTGGAAAAATCTCCTTAAGATGCTATGATAATATGACAATGGGAAATATATCTCACTCACTCCATTAAACATGGTAAAAATATACATTATATCCTAAAGCCTCCAGATGAGCCTATTCTCAATATAATTAGCAACTAATAGCATGTATAGACATAAAGCAGAGATAATCCTTCCTCTAAACATTTAGTTATGTTCCAGAAGCAATTAATAATGTCAAATTTGGGGCAGAGTAGAGCACAGCCAGACACTTTTGAGCAGGAGTGATGAACTACAGAACGAGCCAGCAGACACAGACCAACAACGCAAACCGACTTTCCAGAAAACAGTTCAAGAGAAACAAATCCTTGCACGTAGTCAAAATGCAAGCATACACTGGAAAGAACTGTAGCAAAGGAAGTGAAAAGTTTTACATTGTTCATCTCAGCCAAGTTTTCCTCTTCCGGTAGGAATGATTCAACCCCAAAATGAAAAAAAAAAAAAAAAAAAGATGTTGAAAGAACCCTACTGTTTGGGCCACGCGCGGGGCAATTTCATTTCTAAAATTCCAGTGTTGTATAACTGAAGTGTATTCCAGCGGATCTGAACATCAAGTTACATAATTATCAAAGTATTGCACCCTGTTCTGCTTGTTCAGCAAAGAACATGACAGGCCTCGGGTGGTAGCAACAGAAGAGTATCCACTTAAAGCAACATAATATTTTTATTGCAGTAGAAAACACTTTTAAGGTTGCAGATTTTTAATACTGTATTCCAAAATTAAGAAATAGTAAGCAGTCTTTTAGAAATCAAAATATTAAAAATCCCTAATATTTTAGTTGTTTTTATCATTTAAAAATAAAAAAAAGCCTACTCAACTAAATATCTGTGGTATTTTTAGAGCTTTCCAGAGGCATATTATCAAATTTATGTACCTTTCTTCCCAGAGAATGGTAAAAAAAAAACCTGTTGGATATTCAACTGCATTTTATAGAAATTTTGATAGCAATTGTCTTATGGAAACAGTCACAAACAGCAACTCTATTTGTTGATTTAAATTTAAGGCATCTGAAAATCAGAGGAATAGTAAAAAAACAAAAAAAGTTAATTTTAAAAAAGCCCATATCTAAAGTCTACAAATGAGTGAATAACCATGAGGGATACTCAGTCTGGATTAAATGTACCATATCTTCAACATGGCTTCAGCAGGAGTGAACAAGCACAAATATCAGATGATTTAAACAAACTGGAGAAAAATAGAAGCAAGGAGATAGAAATGAACTCGGCACCACCTTCTATCACTAACGGAGATAGAAACCAGAAATGGCCTCCTTCGCAGCTTGTTTAAAAGGCAAATGCATACAAAAATAAAAGCCGCAGAGCTGCATTCCTTAATATGCCTAAAATGAGATGACATTGATAAAGTCTGCACCAGAGTACGTAAGACCCTGAGTAAACTGGAGACAATAGTGCTCTATATTTAAGCTAAGAAGCATAAAACAGCAAGAGCAATCTAACCAAATTTTCATGTGAAAGTTGTTCACTGTGAATTGACTCTGTACCAGACAGTGATAATTACCTTGGCTTAAAACTGTGGCACCACCTCTGGGCTTCTTTTCTTCTTCAGTTTGCCCCTGGAATAGAGAAAGTGTGGTTTAGATCGTTAGTCATGGATAACTGCTTGTACTCACTACCTTCCCTGCTACCAAGCTAAAATACCCGGATGAAGGCAACTACTGAAGGAGTCAATGTGGAGAAGGCATCACAGCAGGATCTTGGAAAAACAGATCAAAACACATGAACAGTCAGGAGTCAGAGAACAGGGAATGTGTGTGCCCACCCAGCTTTCTCCTTCCTGTCCAACCCTATATCCAAGTGTAAGGAATGGTGTTGGGGTCTTCCCTCACTTAACATAATCAAAATGACCCCTCTGAACATGTCCCAAAGGCTGGCCTTCTTAATGATGTCACCCGGAATAACACCGAAAACTGAAGCTTGGCGGGTAGCAAATCTATGAACATCCATATAACCCAGGGTTTACAGCCAGCACCTTCCAGTGGGTGCCAAGAGCCGTCCACCATCATCTCTTCTCATGACAGAAATTCATTCATAGAGCCTCGTTTGTTCATTGGATACGTACAGAGAGAGTGAGCTCCCACCGCCTTTCATATAACGGTGGAAACAGGTGTCCCCACAACCCCCACACCTGCGTCTGAGGGCTGCATAGTGGTGGCTGACTGGAGGAGGTTTCTCCCCCTCCCCCACCACAGGCTCAGCTCTCATTTCTCCTTTCAGCGAGCTGGTTAACCTCCCCCCCCCCCCCTCCGCATCAGTACTTAATTAAAATAAGATTAGCTAACTGTAACCACGCTGACCATCCAAAATACACAAATGGCTGTAAAGACTCCTGAAAACAACAACAACACAGATTGGATTTAACATACAAAACAAGCCCAAGTGACCAGAGATATGTGGGAGCCTTTCCTCAAGGTCACAGCACTCACCAGATGTGCTGATCACAATTCCCAGGGTAAAGCAGAGCCTTCAGCAAATGCTGGTACTCCAGTTTTTAAATTATGTGCTTATTTACTGAAAGAGAGGCAAGAGCCATTTTTAAAAGTAGGTATCTAGCCAGGCAGTGGTGGTGTATGCCTTTAATCCTAGCACTCGGGAGACAGAGGCAGGCGGATATTGGATCTCTGTGAGTTCCAGGATCTATAGAGTGAGATCCAGGACAGGCACCAAAACTACTCAGAGAAACCTTTTCTCGATAAAAGGAAAAACAAAAACAAAAAAAAAAAAAAAGTGGATATCTAGACATACATCTTACTTATATGGTTTTGTGGCCATACACAATGTATGCTACCCATCAAAAGTATGTGAAAAGTTAAAATGGAAGAACAGAATTTTACGGGTGGGCTCTTAATTCATTTTTGGAAAGATGGTTATGCATCCCTCTTGATGAGTTCCCAAACAAATTGTCATCAGAGAAGATGAAAATTTAGCAGGTGATTTACACAAAATCTTTCATAATTAGTGACTGATGATGGAAATGAGTTGGATGATTTTGTAAACTCAGCCAACAATCATCTCCTCAAGTTTTCCATACCTAAGTTTGGGCTGTCTCTCATCAAGCTGTCACAGAAACTGACTGTCCCAATTGCTTAGGGCTGACCGGGGAACACAGCAATAAGAAGGGCAATGTCTAGGTAAACCTTCCCATCTGAGGCCACAGGAATGACTGGTCACCCCAGTGATGACAGCCAATAAACTAAAGCTTGGAGGCTCTATACAGTCATGTCACAAGCTGTCAACTAAGTCTCAACAATAGGTCTCATTTTAATGAGAGTTTATTAGTTCTTTAACTGTTAAATGCTATTAACTTCATTTTTATATTGTGGTTTTGGTATTTTTTTTTAAATTATTCTATTTTCTGGAGCTGAGGACCGAAGCCAGGGCCTTGTGCTTGCTAGGCAAGTGCTCTACCACTGAGCTAAATCCCCAACCCCAGTTTTGGTATTTTTGAGATCAGGTTTATGATATGAAATGCCATTTATGCAATAGTAAATCAAATGACCTTAAATAAATACAGATATATGATTAAAGCTTATCAGTAAGTATTTTTATTTTTATATCACAGGTCTCTTGAGGGTCACGTGTTGAAGGGTTGGGCAACAGCCTACAGTTGTACTAGGAGACCATGGAGTCTTCAGGAAGAGCAGCTGCGGTGATACTAGAAGACTACCTTTCACCCTCTTCTTCCCCTCACCACACCCTTCTCTCTGTCAACTCCCTCCCTCCCTGCTCTCGCTGACCCCATCCTGGAGGGATGAAGCTGGGCTGTGCTCACAGAATACTGTGTCATGCTACCAGGCGACAGTCAAAGCAGTCATCCAACCAGACTGGAAAGCCTAAAACCTCCAGCCAAGATATACATTTCTCCTTTTCCTCATATTTACCTTGGCCATTTTGTCACAGAAGAGGAAAGCTAACTCACACAATGGGGGCAGCAAATGAAACAGTTCCACCAACAGCACCAGGCTGCCAATTGTTTATGCTGTTATAACTGATGATTCCTGGACGTGCTTTAGCCCAGTGTCTTTCTATATGCATGACTTGTTAAGGTAGTAATGTGTGTTGTGTTTGAGTTCATGGGATTCAACATATATGTGGATAATATTTTACTGTTTTCTCTCTGTGTCTCTGTATCTCTGCCTTTCTCTCTCTCTCCCTCTCTCTCTGCCTCTCCCCAGGTCTATATATCTGTGTGTGTGTGTGTGTGTGTGTGTGTGTGTGTGTGTGTGTGTGTGTGTGTGTGTGTGAATATAATGTTGCAGTGAAAACATTCCCACCTGCCTTCCTCCATCTGGCTAATGCATGGTATCCTAAGCAGCAAACACTTTAATTAGTTTGTAGTATATCCTTGCAGGATTTTCCTTCTGAAAATACAAAGGAACATGCCTACATGTGCTTATTTTCTTGCTCTTGTCTCCAAAAATATCCTAGGGTAGTACTGTTTTCTCCCAGCATTTTGTTCTTTGACAGAGGTCTTTCCTATGAGGTAGATTTATATAATGGCACTTTACTCATCTCCCATAGCTGCACAGCATTACAATAAATGGGTATGTCAGGATTTATCTAGCTCCTTATTTACAAATATTTAGGTTGTTAGCTAGCCATCCTGTCTTAGTCAAATTTACAATGCTGCAGCGGAAACCTACAAATGCGTTTCTCTGCACACCTATAAATTTCTGTGCAATGGCTGCAGAACAGCACTGTCAATCTCAGGAGGCATGAACCCTTTTGTTGCTAGATGCTGCTGAGTTAAGCTCTCCTCAGCTGCTTCACTCCATGTCCACAAGACTGACAAGCTCCTGTCTCCCATATCCATCTCAAGAGCTTGTGCCATTAGTTGGGGCTTTACTGCACAGTGACAAAGTGAGATCTCACTGCAGCATCAGCCTTTGTTCTGTCATGGAGAGGTTAAAGGTCACATTACTGTGTTCCGAGATTCTTGATCACACTGTGTAAAGATATGTCACTATGATTGGTGTAATAAAAAGCTGAACAGCCAATAGCTAGGCAGGAGGTATAGATGGGACTTCCGGGCAGAGAGAGCTCTGGGAAGAAGGGGGGGCACCAGCTGGACACAGAGGAAACAGAACATGCAAGAGGAGAGGTAAAAGCCAAAAACCACGTGACAACATGTAGACTAATAGAAATGTGATGATTTAAGTTATAAGGGCTAATTAGAAACAAGCCCAAGCTAAGGCTGAGCTTTCATAATTAATAAGAAGTCTCTGTGTCATTATTTGGGGCTGGTGGGACAGAGAAACCCATTATATTATTGATTAGAAGATCATTTGTATTTCATGGATAGTAAAATACTTTTCTATCTGTGATCCATTTTTTCTCCTGGAATGACTGCCCATCTTTTGATCTTAATAATCTAGGAAAACCAGTTATTTACCTCTGTTATGGTGTGTGTGTGTATACGTGTATGCACTTTGTTGTGTTTTATATATAAATTTTATTTTTCCCAGGTTGTCATTTCTTGTGAAATATTATTTTAAGGTGTGTTACATTTCTTTATACTGTGGAACATTTGTTTAATGGTGCAAAGCTGCATTGCATTCTTTTATGTTGCATTTAACTCTATGAAGCTGTGTTACGTTGCCTGTCTAAAACACCTGATGGTCTAATAAAGAGCTGAATGGCCAATAGTGAGGCAGGAGAAAAAATAGGTGGGGGAGGGGGAGGGGGCAGAGAGAATAAATAGAAAAAGAAATCTGGGGGGAGGAGAAGAAGAAGGAACAAGAGAACAAGGAGAAGAGGATGCTAGGGGCCAGCCACACAGCCACACAGTCAGCCATGGAGCAAGAGTGAAAGTAAGATATACAGAAGTAAGAAAGGGAGAAAGCCCAGAGGCAAAAGGTAGATGGGATAATTTAAAATTAAGAAAAGCTGGCAAGCAACAAAGCAAGCTAAGGCCTGGCATTTATAATTAAGAATAAGCTTCTGTGTATGGTTTATGGGTGAGCTGGGTGGTGGGGGCCCGCAAAAGAGCAAAAACAACCAACAACAATTTCTATTTTCATTTTGATTATGATATATTTTTAATGTTTGTTTTAAGAAATACAATGGCCAAGCCTTTGCTTGATGGTGCTGAGATCTGAGAAAAAGCTAGACAAGCTTCTATATTCTGAGATATAGACAACCTTCCCCTTTGCTTCTCTGTGGCTCCTTCCTTACACCACTTCACTCCTCAGTATCTAACCTGTGCTAGGTGAGAGCAGTGAAGCCATTGTCTCCAGGGAGGTATTCACGTATCCCTACTTAACAGCCTCCTTCCCTCATTAGCCTTGGAGACCTGTGCATTCCGGCCTATTTCTGGCTTCCTCCTCTGTTTATTCTGTCTGTCTAACTATTTGTGTGCCAGTACCACACTGTTTTCATTACTGCAGCCTTATGGTTTCATATGCTTTCTAGGCTACCTAATTCTTTGCACACAATAAGACAGTTCTGTTTGTGTACAGATTTTAGAATCAAGACAGCCAAAAGCTCGAATTCCTAGTGTCCTCCTTCCTATCTGTATGATTCCAGGCAGGGGACCTCTTTAACCTCCATGGATCTC